GGTCATCACAGCCACTGTGGGTCTGGTGTCCGGAGACACCTCATCACCCCCTGGGTCTGGTAAGGGGAGCGCCCGGCCCCGTACTCACTCTGCACCCGCACGCGGGTTCCCTCTCCCCAGGTCTGCTCCTTGCCATCAAGTATTTCAAAGCAGAAATAGACGGAGTCGTCCCCGGCCTGGACCTCGCGGATGCTGAGCAGGAACTTCTTGTTGGAGGCGTCTCGGGAGGGGACGAATCGCTCCGGGATCCCCGGCGCTCGGTACACGGACAGGTCTGTCTTGAAGCTCAGAACTGCCTCCGGCTTCTCTCCCGGGCTCTGCCGGATCCAGTGCACGTTGGTTGTGTCGGCGCCGACATTGGCCACGGCACACTCCAGGGTGGCCGTGTCTCCGGGAGACACCGAGATCTCCGAGGGGCTCTGGCTGAAGGAGGCATATTGGCACCTTCCACCTGCAGGAGACAAACCAGATCGTCACCCCTGCTCCTTGTGCCCAAGCCAAGAGCAGGAGTTTTGGAGTTTGCAGCGGTGGGAGGGTGGATGGGAATGGAGAGAGATGGACAAGTAGAGATTGTTGACATGGAGATAGATAGATAGATAGATAGATAGATAGATAGATAGATAGATAGATAGATAGATAGATAGATAGATAGATAGATAGATAGATAGATAGATAGATAGATAGATAGATAGATAGATAGATAGATAGATAGATAGATAGATAGATAGATAGATAGATAGATAGATAGATAGATAGATAGATAGATAGATAGATAGATAGATAGATAGATAGATAGATAGATAGATAGATAGATAGATAGATAGATAGATAGATAGATAGATAGATAGATAGATAGATAGATAGATAGATAGATAGATAGATAGATATAAGCCTTCTTGGAGACGGGACAGGCAAAGGGGAGGGGCAGGGGCTGGACGAGGGGTCCCATGTGGTGTCTCACCGGCCAGGCAGAGCAGCAGGAGCAGGCCGTGGAGCGGACGCATGGCCGACCTTCACGCTGTCCCTCGTGCTGAGCTGAGACGGGCCAGGGAGACGCTGCCTCTTATGGGGCCGTGTATGCAAATGTGGCCCCTGATGGGGAAGGAAGAGGCTCCTGATTGGCTGGGGCCCCTCTCCGGCACAGCGCCCCAGCCAACGGGCACTCTGGTGGTGAGGGGGGAGATTTGCTTGCAAGTGCCCCCGCACGGGGTCCTGGCTTCGTCTCTGTCCTCGCCACACAGGCCCGGTTGCTGTCATCAGGTGAGGCTTGGCTGAGACGGGCGCCCAGCAGGGGAGGGTCAACAGGCCCCCGGGGGGCCCCAGGGCTTAGGGCCGGGGGTGAGGAGATGCTGGAGGGGCCGGTGTAGGTGCTGGGGGGCAGAGACCAGGAGTCCAGGGGGGTTGGACAGACTAGAGACAGGACCCCACCTGCTCTGTGGGGCTGCCCCCTGGGGTCAAAGTGGGGTCATTCAGTGGGTCGTAAGGTCCTTGTGTCTGTTCCTCACCTGCTTCTGCCTGGCGCTCGGGGTCCGACCCACACGGGCTGGCACCATAATAGCTCATCAATAGCTCATCAATGCAGGACTGATCATTAGTAGGTAATTATTGGCTCCTCATTATTAGCTACTTCTTATACAGATCATATCGATATGAAATAAGCTAGGAATGCTCTTACAGATTTGTCACAGAGCAGGAGACGAATATCAAATGGTCGATGGGTTTTTAATTGCAGGATTACACAATTATTCTTACTTATTCCTTCTAATTTTGTTCTATTAATTAATCCCCTTTAGACTCTTATATGAAGGATGCCCCAAACATCGGAGATAGACTTTCTGGACCAGAACCTTGCTGTAATCTCACTACGAAGGATGTTTATAGATTGGAGGTGCCCAATGTATATCAATGAATTTCTGAGTTTGATTAGTGAGGAATTATTGCCCAGGAGTTTTGAAATCTGATGAGAAATTCCCTAGCTATGTTTTATGAGCTAGTAATTACTGGTTAAACTCATAACTAACTACGATTAATAACTGATCGGAAATGAACTGTTTTTGACAGAGATCGGTGACAGTACGTGTCAGTTTCACCCCCAGTGCCTGGAAGAGAAGTAGAAACGATAGAAGAACTTTTCTGTCTTTAGTGGAAATGGACCGGAGGCACCTCCCCTAATCCGCATCTCTACGGAAAGAGTTTGAGTTTGTAAGCAAAAATTACTGGCTAGGGGTTGAGAGAAGAACGGTTACAGCTCACTTCTAATAGGACCGGGATTGCTCTGGAGTGATTTAGAAAGAACTAGCTTGGAAAAAAATTCCAAGATCTTTCTCTTATAGATTTTCCTTTCTATTTTATAGCTATCAGTCTTATTAATATTCCAATATTTTTTTCTTTTCTTTTTTCTTTTTTCTCCTGATTCTAAAACGCAGAAACAATAAAAAATGAAGGCACAAGTTAACTGCATAGAGACATCTCCGTGGTAAAGCCGACAAACCTGATCTCTGTATTTTCAGTCAGAATTGAAAGTTTAGTTTGCTAACGGGAACGTCTTTTCTCTTATTTTGTGACGTGGGGCCTGGCTCTCTTCACCCGCCTTCACGGTGGTAGAAATCCTGGCAACAGGGAGAGAGCGAAGGCCAATGAAGTTTCTCTCTAAGAGCAGGTACCCCACAGAGAAAATTACACCGATTAACGAAGGTGACGTTCACGGCGGCATGGGTAGATAAAGAGGAGAAATAGCGTCACTTTCATGGTGACGGGAAAGGGGAGGGAACCCACGTCGGATTGCTCTGGAAACACGTTTCTCTTCTCAACGCGTGTTTACTGAAGACCGAATGTTCTGATTAATCGTTAGTGTTGAAAACAATTAAAATAATAGAGTTGATCAATGATATTTTTCATGAAGACACAAAAAGGTTCAGCGAACAATAGGTTGAAGAGCATCACTGTTGTGTCTAAGACGTCCTTACAAGGGAAATGAATACTAACCGGCACGTTGAGAACGTGACGGCATTTTACTGGCTTATAATACACATGCGGCTCCCTGTTTATTAAAAGCTGTTAGAAAATCATGTTTTCTTGCACGGTTCCAAGAGATTGGGGTGTGGATCTGTCACGTTTTCTAACCGATCCAACGATGAACCCCCAGTTCAGAGCGGTGGGTGGGAGCCGGATGTTCTGGGAACCCAGATTCTGATAGATAAGAATTACTTCCTCTGTCCCAGCCTTTCTTTACTTTTTAACCTCCCCCTCCACCACAAGGTCTGGGCTGAGGTCGCTGCCCGTGGCCGGGTGGCGCTGGGGGATTCTCCCCACAATGGGCAGCTCCCAACCCCAGGCCCAGCACGGGGAGGCAAAACAGAAGGAGCGGGGCCTGCGGGTTGATTCCCAGGGGCTCAGGATAGCAGCTTGGCAGACACAGAACTCGCCAGGGTATGGACGGATTGACACACGGACGGGACCTGGGCCGACACAGAACTCGCCAGGGTGCGGACGGATGGACTCACGGATGGGGGCTGGCTTGTGACTGTCTGCCGGGCACCGGGCGGGGAGGCAAAACAGAAGGAGCGGGGCCTGCGGGTTGATTCCCAGGGGCTCAGGATAGCAGCTTGGCAGACACAGAACTCGCCAGGGTATGGACGGATTGACACACGGACGGGACCTGGGCCGACACAGAACTCGCCAGGGTGCGGACGGATGGACTCACGGATGGGGGCTGGCTTGTGACTGTCTGCCGGGCACCGGGCTGGCAGGCCTGGCACAGGGCTGGCAGGCCTGGAGCTGTGGGGAGGGCACCGTGTGGGGGGAGAGCTCAGGGCTGTGGTTGCCAATATGTCGAGGGAGCGGAGGGTGAGGGTAGCCGACCGCGTCTCCTCCTGTTCCTGGCCGGTTATTGTGTCAGGCCCAGCTGTGCCCAGGGCACCTTCCTCCCCGTCCCCTCGGAGGAGGCATTTCAGGGAGGTTGGGCTCAGAGAAAGGAACAGGCTGTGCTACCCCAGGGAACATTTCCCCTGGGCTGAGAAATACACAAAAGGCTTTTGGTTCAGTGTGGCCAGTGGGAGCCTGGTGTGGCAGGGGGCAGCAGGCCGAGCAGAGCCCGGTACTAAGTGAGAATCATCACAGAGCCCCGGCCAATCCTGGGCCACCAGGAAACTTTTCCTGCTAACTCGGATGCTCACCAGATGCCCGAAACGTCTGTCATGAGCTGTCATGTGACTGGATTTTAAGGGGAGCTGCCAGATCACTCGTGCGCCCACGGGGGTCAGTTCCCCCAAAATCTGTCCATAGGGGGCTGTGGGAGGTGTCCAATGAAAGCTCATGTCCTACTGATTCTGTACACGCTACCCATGTCCGTGTGTGATGTCTGTGGGTGGGGCTATGAAGACGGGCTCTAGGCTTGTGCTGGGAATGTCTGAGACGGAGCAACGGGCCAGGAATGTCCAGCCATAGACTGTGCTAATTAGCAGGGCTCCAAGGACACTGGCTCTCAGGGGACCCAATACACCCCTGAGGGATTCATCTGGGAACCTGCAAATAATGGCTGCTGGCATGGGACACGGGATGGGTCACGGGGCCATGTGACCTGCTCTGGCTAGGAGGACGCCAGGAGAGATACAAAGTGTCACGTGGCAACCTCCATCCTGTCTGCAATTCTGCTCCTGATCCCAGATGCAGCCTTGCGGGGGCAGCGAGCCAAGATGGATTGCTGTCCCATCCTGACAGAGGACGTGCACCAGAGACTTTTAAGCCAGCAGGTTGTAACATCTCTGCTGAGATCCTGCATCGAGAACTTAGTGATTGGTGCATGTGATGTATTATCCCCTTACTCCCAGCCTCTTCTCTCTTTTGTTAATAAACCATTAGATTTTAGATTCTAAAGGACTGGCCCAGCGTGATCTTGTGGGTAAGGTCCAAAGTATAAATTTACTGGAATGTGTGGCTGGTTTTTTGGGACTGGAAAGTAGAAAGATTTTTCATGGGTCGTTGACTTGAGCACCACGCCATTAAGTGTCTGCCACCTCTATGAGGGCCCGCATCAGCTCATTCACCGGTCGACCCGGAGCCGCCCGTCCTATCTTTAGCTTATAGATTCCAAATGTATCGTCCAGCCCCCCAAAGAAAGCTTCTGACTCTGTGGGACTGTTTGACCCAGTTAAGGCTCATAAGCTCCAGCCTCTGTCAGTGCCAGAGAGATATGCACAATGGTTGGTCCCCAGTAATAATGTGCCATTATACAGTCTATCTGCCCTTCCATACCCCCACCCTCTGCTGCCCTAGTGCACATTATACAGTATAGACGCCACGTCCCTGCCCCCACCCTTGCTGCCCCTATTGCCTTGATAGAATGGAGATGACACGGTGCTCACTTGCTATCAGTCCATGGTTTATTGCTGCCCGTGGGCAGGGGCCGGCCTGGCTCCCAGAAGCACAAAGCAATTCCCTGCCTCCCGCGGTCCCTGCCTTGGCGTGGCCTTGTCGCTGGCCCCACAGGCTGGTCCTGGACCCTGCCCTGGCCCTGGCAGCAGAGGCTCCCCACGGGGCTAGGCCGGGCGGCAGGCCTGGGCGCTGAGGGTCCTCTCCAGCGGGCTCCGCAGGGATTCGTGCAGGACAAGGCAACTGTAGTTGGTCGCCACGTGCCACTCGCCGACCGGCACCGTCAGGGGGCTGC